TGTTTTTTCTAAAAATAAGAGAAATGTAGTTATAAGTCCCCCAAAATTCATAATTAATTCATTTTAAATAAAAATACAAAACTGGTAGCAAAGTTTTTTTTCTTCTAAAAGTATAATTTATCTACTGGTGCTCTATTTAGAGTTCTCTAGATTTTACTTGTTTAGGTTGCTACTAGTGGTTTATTCCTCATAGTTGCGACCGTTGTTTATAGGAATATATCTTTTTGTGTCTTACTTAAGTTGATTGATTGCATGGTGTTTGTGCCGCTGTCGTATTTGAAACCTATTACCTAGTCAAGCAACAGAAACAAAACAAAACACTACCCATGTAATGTCTAATAAGATCTATATGTGTGGTGGAGTGGAGTATGACCTCTGTTAATTAGGTCAACGTCACGGTTGAGATCTTTCATGTACCTGGAATTCATTGGATCCTTTTGATTGATCTCATGGGCTCATATAACGCAAATGATAATTTTAATAAATACCATTCACATACAAGAAATAAAACACTAGAAACAATAATAAGTAAGATTCAAATAAATAACTCTAAATAGAGCACAAAAAATATATTATATTTTAGGACAATTTTGATAATGGTTTCCTTTTTAATTTAATATAAATTGGATATGGATTTTGGATATTTAACCATCTCTTTTATTATCATTTTTAGAAAAATACACATATAGACAAACCCACCTTTGAATCTAACCATGGGCCAAAGTAACTTGTTTGATTTAAAATAAGGATCTAACTAGGCACAAACTTTGGAAAGAGGAGGAAATTGGATGATACTTCTTGCCACTTTTGCTGTGAAAAGGAAACAGTTAACCATGTATTCTTTGAATGTGCTGTGTTGCCATTGGGTAGAATATAAAGAACTACCACACCAAAGCATCCTCATCATCCTTAAACTCAATAGTACTTAAAAAAAACATGGCCATAACTGTGCACTTAAAGAACACAATGTCATTACCATTGGTTTGATGAGCAAAAGGAATAATCCATTACTGTACATTGGTCATTGAGATGCATACATGCATACCTAATAATTAGACCAACACTACCAGGTAACAAGCATGCCGAAAGCTAACAAACACATACTAACAAAACAAGGATAACACACTAGTTTAACTAAAAGAATGACAACATCCTTCCTAGAGGAAATTAATATGGCCATAGACAATTAAACAACATTGATCCAATTAAACAACTTTGGTCTAGGCCAACGCCAACACAAAGACATGTCATAACAAAGAGATACAACAAATGCAACTTTAATGCTCCGCTAATAACTCCAAGAACAAGGGAACATAAAGAAGATAGTGAAATTAATCCATTGATATCTAGACTTCTGCTAGGTCTAGTATAGTAGATGACACGGACATGGATGACATGAACTTTTCTGTAATCCATGTCATATGCAATCAGTGTTCTTTCCTACCTAACAAAGAAAATCAAATTGCACTATGGGTGAACTAAACTCAGAAGCAAAATCAAGATTTTTCTGTCCCAATAGTTGCAGCATGCTCACAATATGTTTTAATGTTCATTTATTAGTAACATAGTCTTCAATGATCCAAATTGAAATCTAGGACATATCATGAATATCAGCAGTACACAAACACAAGTGACCCTAAGCTTGATGGATGGAGCTTTCGGCACCACGTGGCTTATGAATTTTCCTCCACGTCTTTTCCTCCATACCCACGTCAACTATCAAAGAGCACTCCAGGATGTGCATAAAACCATTAAGAAATACACTTCTCGATTTTAAACGTAGTACAATACCCTCGCCCATTTAGATTCCTTAAAGATCCATGCTGCAATTTTAGATGAGTAGATCTCCACACCTACGCACTCACCCTCCTCCCACACATATTCAATCACATGGAAGTGTGATGAGACTATCGGATCGAATCCCAAGCGAGCCTCACCAGCAGAACACTATGTGATAGTACTAGCCACTCTCGATCGCTGGATTGCAGACAATATAATGAAATGGAAACACGCCATCGTTGTCGAAAGCACCAGGCTCAACGCACCAGCAGAGGATGAAGCCTTTGCAACAATATGAGATGATGACTTTGTCAATAGGGAAGAGGAAGGACAAGGAGGGGCGTTCCCGGTGACGCTGGTGAAATGGCGATTGTCGTTCCAGCTGATGAAATATATAGAAAAATAATAAAAACTTAAATAGAAGTACACAATTAATAAAAGATAAAACAAAGCATAAGGAAAACATAAACAACACAAAGAAAAAAAGTGACGTAATAGATGAAAATGAAAAAGACATCACATGGATCACACGAGAAGGCATATCAAATTAACAGAAAAACGAGTGAAAGACAGACAAATGGATCACACGAGCAACATATATAGCTTTTTTGGAAAAATACGGTGTGTTGTGTTTGTCATGTTGCTAGACTATAGTTCCAGCACGGTTGCAACTGTTGCTGACTCGGGCTCCGACTCCAACTTCCAACTCAGATCTCAGGTTGATAGTTCCTAACTAGTTTCATCTGAATGCAAATGGTTCCAACTAGTTACAAACCAATGGTGAAACTTCTGATCACCGCCGGCAGTGTTTCAAACAGTTCCGATTTCCACAGCCGGATCGTATAGCGAATAGACGGTGCTAGCTTCTTCCACCGTCGGTTCAAACGGGCGGTGCGTCCTTCCAGCTTCAAACCAGTGGCGAAACTTTTTATCTCCGCCAGTTTGTATGTGCGTCGCGCATTGGCTCACTAGCTAGCAATGCTAAATGTTGCACTGCTAGTTTGGTGTATGATATGGCGGCGAAGACTGGTACCGTGTTCACCCTCAGATCATATGCCGAACTGGCGGTGAAATATTTATCACCACCGGTAAGTCAACCTTCTGCTACCCCCTCAGACTATGAACGGCTTTGATATGTATCACCGCCGATTCTCATATATCCGGCAGTGAAAGTCCCAACGGTGATCAAACTTTCTGTAGTAGTGTAAAAACTTGTATTCGCACTTGAAAATTTTAGCGAAATTGACTAAAATTAGTTGTATATGATTTAATATAATAGAAAGCTACATCATGTCAATTAAGACCTCTAGTTGAACATGACCCGTTTCAACCCAATAGACATATATATGTATACAATATATAGAAACCCAACACCAACCCATGGGTTCAACCCATTCAAATTCAAAAAAAAGAACCTAATCCAACCCTTCTAACTTATTCTTTCTTTTAAACCCAACTCAACCACATGTCGTCCCTCTCTCTCATCTCCTTCTCCATTCCCTCATGTGCTCGTCCAGATAGCGTTCTTTGTGCCCTTGGTTCGATGGCATATATCCGCACAACACTATACAACAAGGCCCTGCTGGAGCATGGATCCTACCGAGGATACTGGCTCGCCCATGGTCAGCTGTCATAATGCCTTGGTCAGATTTGTAGTTTTTGGAAAGTTGGCTGAGCTTTTCCTTTCTTCCTACTTGGGCTGTCGTATTTGTCTCGAGGCTGGAATTTATACTAGACATGTATTTCTAACCACCTCTAAAAATGACAACCTTTGTTTTTTTCAGGGGCGGCTAGAGTTCCCAGCTACCTCTGAAAATGTATTTCTAACGGCCGGCTTGGTGGGACCCGATGGAGGACTATATGGAGATGGCTATGAATTTAGCTGCCTCTACCCTAAAAAGCGTTGCTAAAAATTGTTTAATGTGATATTGTTCACTATTTGACTAGAATGGATGAAGGTGCATATATCACTTATTGAGAAATAACAAAACAAAATCAATAGCAATGATGGTTTTTGAGATCAAGCAAAGATACATACAAATCCAAATCCCAATCAGGGCGTACGTACGTACCTGAAATGTTCATTTCAAAGGACATCGCTTAGTAGGTTGACATCAAGATCACGCATAATATTGCGTCGATTACATACCAAACTCCACATTTGCTTGCTAACTACCAACAGGAGCACCCAAAGGCACATATCTGTGCTATGCACTTTTCCCGTGACAATAACACTGCCTTTCACGCAAAAAACACACACACACACACACACACACATCGCCTTTGATGCATGCCACACATGCTTGTATAGTATACACATAAATACTCCACGACAGCATCTGTCATGTAGGTATATAATCTTCAGGTTAGTTATGACTCTATCATGCATGCTTCATACTGATGCCATTACCCATGCATGCAGGTGTATCACTACCGAAAACAGTAAAATTGCCGAGTGTCTGAGGGTTTGTCGAGTGCATTTCATCGGGCACTCGGCAAATATCCTAGTTACCGAGTGTTTTTAATTAAATACTCGGCAAACATATAGCACTCGGCAAAACCCAACTTTACCAAGTGCTTAATAAAAAACACTCGGCAACCTACAACAAAACACTCGCTGGAATATATGTAGCTAGCAGCAGGTTGTTATGTACAAAAGTGAGAAGCAGCAACCATTCTTCCTTCCTGGCTTGTAGCTAGTTACATGTTTGATGCCATGTCGCTGTAGTGTTAGATAGAAAGCACCAATTAAAGTGGAACCGGGGTGGGGCCCTCACCATGGAAACCCAATGAAAGGAAGTGTCATGGTGAGGCCTTTCATGCTGCTTGCTTGCTTGCTTAATAATCAGGGGGATCCCTCAAGAAGCTAAGCAATTAGAGAAAAAATTTAATCGATGATGATTCGATTAAATAATCGACAAAGAAGAGTGAAGGAGGCAGAAGCTAGAGCTAGAAGAGGAAGGCCAGGGGCAACAAGCCCGGAGAGGGAGGAGAGAGCTCATGTTAAAAGCCCTACTAAACACCAACCAACCATTTGCACACCCAGCAGCAGCAGCATGATATGTCATATGCATAGATTGCTAGCTTGATATGTCATACGTTATAACCACATACAACTTGCATCAACCACATAACCTCCGCGTTGCGTTGGTGTGCATAGCTAGCTAGCTATAGCGTTATTAAGCTAGCGCTGTAGCTATAACTAGTGAATCATATCTAGCATGGGGCATCACTCCTGCTGCAACCAGCAGAAGGTGAAGAGGGGGCTCTGGTCCCCTGAGGAAGATGAGAAGCTCATCAGATACATCACCACCCATGGTTATGGCTGCTGGAGCGAGGTCCCCGAGAAAGCCGGTAGGTTATGTTCTCTCTTGATGATGACTACTCTCCATGCATATAACTCACCAATTAGTTTGTTGATGATCATTTAATTTGGATCCTTGTTCTTGGATGGATGAGCATTGGTTGGTTTCTTTCTGGTCGATTAAGTTTGTGCAATGTGAGGGTTCTGCAGGTCTACAGCGGTGTGGGAAGAGCTGCCGGCTGCGGTGGATCAACTACCTCAGACCGGACATCAGGCGAGGGCGGTTCACAGCGGAGGAGGAGAAGCTGATCATCAGCCTACACGCCATTGTTGGCAACAGGTAGGTTGCACAAGTTCTTTCAGCCGTTAGTACCAAATAGAGAATTTGGCCTCCTATTAATTTCTTCGCTTCTTAATTTCCCCCAAACTACTTAACTAATTTCTGTAGGTACTAATAATCACATGGCTATACGTATACGGTACTGATGAATCATGATTCCGTTTTTCACTTACTAGCAAGAAATTTTGCACCCCTACATTGGTGTGTTCCATTGCAATTGATTAATCCGATGAAATCTCATGCTCCATTATTGTGTTCTTAATCTGGCAATGCTGGCATGGCTGCAAATAGCCACTATGCTGCATGCATAGCCTCATCTTCTCCAGAATTTTCTCCTTGATTCGTTTCCATCGATCTCTTGTGACATGGACTTGTCAGTCTTGTGTGTAGGTAACATTAAACAGCAGAACTGATCAGAAATGTCTAGGAAATTAATTGTGATTTGAAGTGTCGTCTTAAGATGGCACTTGTCTCTAGCTAATAAGTGCCTAGCTGAGTACCACATATATATCACACTTTATTTTTCTCCCAAGGTTTTCAATTTGTTGTCTCAAAGTAAATAATTCAATATATGTTCATAATGATGTGTAGATACATCAGCTTGACATCATACATGTGTATGGCAACGACCTTGATTTTCTGAAGTGTCACTTTCTACTAGTTAAACTTGAACACGACTATATAACAAATCATGCAAGGCGTATGAAATAGCTAGATGTCAGGGACAGGGACGATTGCAGCATTACTTGAAAATGAAGGCTAAATCCAAAGGAATGCAACACCTAGCTAGCTTAGCTACTTGATGTGTACATGACCATAGACGTTCTCTCTCTGCAGGTGGGCCCACATTGCCAGCCACTTGCCCGGCCGGACGGACAACGAGATCAAGAACTACTGGAATTCATGGATCAAGAAGAAGATCCGGAAGCCAGCGATGAGCACGACGAGCTCGTCGGTGACGACGTCGAGCCCGCCGTGCAGCACGGCGGCGTCGGACGCAGCGCTTGGTCACCTGCAGACGCCGTTCAGCGCGGCGGCGGAGCACCTGCAGCTCGACGCCTTCCTCAGCCAGAGCCTAGCCTTGCCGCCACCGCCGAAGCTGGGCTCCGGCGGCCAAGAGTCCCCGCCGGCGGCGCCGTTGCCTCCGCACTGCCCCTTCTTCATGTTCGACACAAGCGTCAGCGTCAGCCCGCCATCGTCGCTGACGTCGACGGCGGCGGCCCACCAGCTGCAGCACCCGTTCCTCACGTTCACGGCGGCGGCGATGGACGACGCACCGATAAGCTACCATCTGCCTCCTTTGGTGGACGGCATGGGAATGGCCGGCATGGCAGCCATGGACTGCGGTGGTCTAGGTGAGGAGGAAAGAGGCCATGATCACCGCGAGGCTGGCAACAATGGCCATGCGGTGGTCGGCATGGCGAACGGCGGCGGTGGCTGCTGCTACGGGCAGAAGGAGGAGCCGACGGCGTTAGGACAGGACCAGTGGGATGACGAATCGGCGCAGCACCTGCTGATGTGGGACGATGACCAAGAACTAACACCGTCCAACCTGGAAGCCATGGAAAGTACAGCTCACTCCCTCCTTTTTATGGGACCAAATGACCATGCATGATGAAAAGCTAGCTTGGTGTGCATGCATGCATCTCTCTCTTCTTGATCTGATCTACCTCTAGCTCTCACCCAATCTGCTGATCTGTCCATATACATGAAATAATGAGGTTTTCCAAGGCGCATAATTTATTTTGTTGGATGTTTCATTTTTCCCCCATTTTGATTTAACCTTTTTTTTTGGTTTGGACTTTGGAGTGAAGACTAAAAAGAGATGGAGTGTGTTAATTGGGTTTTTTTGTAAAGAGAATGAATTTGCATGCATCATCCATGCATATGTTCATGCATGCATGCATGTTTGCATGGCGTTGCGCTTGGAGTGTAATTTGATTGATGTATCTAAGTGAATTTAAAATAAACAAGATGACACAAAAGAGAAGTAAAGAAAGGGAGCCACACGCCTTTTCCGCTTTGGGTGCTTGTGTTTGTTTGCTCTATAGATTGCGCATGCATATGTGGATGGATCGATGTGGATGGATGTATCTAGTTATCAACAACTTTCTTGGCCGTAAGCATCCAATGATGTATGCACTATGCAGGATGCAATTGCAAGGCCGATTGAAGCTATATATACTCCATTTTCTAAAATAATCAACTATATATTTTTTTCTTGTCTAATTTTTTTTTTAGTAATCATTTTCTTCATGTAAGAACAAAATAAATTGATGCCCCATTATATTCATATTGAAAATCCAGCAAGCTATATATAAACATGTAGTCCACGACTCCTACCCGTGTAGTCACGCTGCCATCGCCACGAGGCTCGTGCTCCTACTTGTGTCGCTGCCGCTGTGCCCCCGCTTATGACCACTCGCGACGCCACAACCTCCTCTCGTGACACCACCGCCGCAAGACCTCCACTCATGACGCCGCCACGGCAACGAGCCTACGACCTCCGCTCGAGCCACCACCATCGCGAGCCCGCAAGGCCGTGACCTCTGCTTGCCAGAGTTAGGTTTTGGGAGCACAAAGCCGCCCAGGTGCGGGGGTTGGGGAATGGGGTGCGAAAGTGGGGATGGGGGATTAGGGGTGGAGGCGTGTTGGGCCTGGGTGTGGTGTACGCCGGGAGCAGTTGGCAGCTTGGCGCTCTAGGCTATGTTCAGTTCTGCGGTTTCTCGGTTGCTTTTGTTTCGAAAACTGAAGTCGAAGCAGAAAATCATAGTTCCAGGAAACAAGAACCAAAGCCGAAAACAAAAACAAAAAAAACCAAAATTTTGGTTCGGTTTGGTTTGGTTTTTGTTCTTGGTGAAAAAGTGCCCAGCCCTACTGGCGCCCAGTGCGACAGCTTTCGGGTGTTGTCTGCCCAGGGCATGTGGTGGCTGGCTCGCCTTGGACCCAGCGGTAGATGAGGGCAACCTGGGCCAAGGTCGGCAAGGTGTGGTCAAGTGCGACACTAGTCCATGCTGTGGAAAAAAGTTCCAGGCACTACGAGCTCAGGGAAGACGGTCAGGGCCATGACGGCTCAATTCCGACGGCCAATGCAAACACGTACAACAAGAGTTGGCGCGGGGAAAGGGAAAGGGGATCCAGTAGTGTACCCTTTGTTTGTGGGATCGGTGGCGGTTTTTGAGGGATTGAGAAAAAATAGAAAAATGATCTCTTAGAACATTTTTTTTCACTTCATTCCCCTATATGATAGGTTTTAGCGAAAGAGTGTTTTCTCAATCTAGCGAAGATTCTAGTTTTGTAAGAGTTGAGAAGAGGCCCATGTGGCGTGTTTCTCTATCCCACATATATAGAGGAGGGGGTCGAAAATAAACTTAGACCATGTCGAAATTTGGTTCTCTTAGTTCTCGATCTTGTGACCCGTTCAACTTAGCATTATATCAATATTTATGCCGGTCGCCCTTGTAATTTTGCGAACAATATAAATAAAGATGCAAGTACGAACACTCACATGAACTCAACATAAGTTCTTATTGATTTGATGGAACTTGTCCATCTAGGTTCGAGCTTCGGACTCAGTATGTGTGCTCATATTTTTTGGCAAATTATTCTTTTAGTGGTGGTGACAAGCCCACCAACAGTAACATGTGCGACTTCGCCTCCTAAGAACACTGTCGGTGTAACCATTATTGTGCATGTACGAACACATAACTAATTAACATCGTCTATCACACCCATCCACCCTTGGTGCATTATTGGAAGTTTGGAGCCTTGCTTAGAGAAGATACTATATATGTACATTTTGATTAACGCTAAACGAGATGGCTTAGCAAAATGGCAACACATATAGTGGTGGTATCAGGCTTGCTTAGGACCGATAACTCTTGCTTAAATATTAATCAAGAAGTAGTGCACCGATATTATTAATCAATGCACAACATTTTGACCCATGATGCCCCCTAAAAACGAACCGAACCTCCAACTGTTACTGTTACACATGCATGAGCTGGTACTGTGGTACAAGTACAACATGCATCTAATCATCTGTCCGTGCATGCATTTGATTTGGTTCCCTTAGAACCCAAGCATGAAATTAATTTGTCAATCCATGGTGGAGATCAAGTGGCCAGCCTTGTTGCATCACCCACCACCCAAGAATGTTCCCCTGCATGTCACATCGCCACACACACACACACACACACACACAATGCACAAATGCGCATGTTTGTGTGTACATGTGCAGAGATCACCCTGTTTAATTTCTTGTCCAATGAAGAATAACTCTTTTAAATTTCGGCACACATTTCTTTATTTTGAGGAAGTAATTTGGGCACACACACACACACACACTATTCTTTCTTTCATTCTCCAATGAATATTGTTAGGTGTAACGTTAGCCAGCACGGCACAATGAGCTAGCTAGGTTTAATAGTACAATATTTCTAGTAGCTTGCTGCTAGCTCGATCATATCATCAGTGCAAATCCTAGCAGCTACTAAAGACAATGAGAGCAACAAGAAGTTTGAATATGAATAATGGACGGCAGCTTCATCCTGAAACAAGATAGCCAGGCATAATAGGCCCATGTTGACAGCTATGTTCGTCCAAGACAGATAACGACATGAAATGAACCCATGCAGTGGTGCTTCTAGCGCTATCTTATATATATTTATATATATGCAAAAACATCGTCGTTCAATGTCGCATTCTTCTGGATATATATTAGTTTACATGCATAGTCGTCCGTACGTATGGCTTTTGTTTTTAGTTAACCTGAAAATTAACCAAGAATATATATCCATCATCATTTTTTGTCCGTTTCTCTAATTCCTGCAACATGCATGTACTAGTTGTTGCATGAGAAAAATTAAAAAGTCCTTGATACATATATCTTATGTTATCAACTAGTAATTCATAAGGTTATTCCAAGCAGTGCTGGTGTACTGCAGAGATTAAGTAATTCATTAAGAGCGGTTTCATCACCTTTATTTCCATATATAGCTTATAGTATCAAGATGTGATACATCATGCATGTCAACATTGTATAAATTTATATGGTACCAATACTTCACACTAACGAGCTTTCTTAGTTAATGACAAGTGCATGATAGCGTGAAATTAATTGAGCCCGGGATATAATAGCTATATATTCCAATACATAAAAATGCTGCAGTTTCTGTGATGAGTACCTTCTAAATCATTTACCTACCTAACAAGCCTGTTCCATGCATGGATTACTATCTACTCCATCAGTTCCAAATTATAAGACATTTTGATGATTTTTCTAGATACATATATAGCTAGACACATATTGTATATCTAAGTAAAACCAAAATGCTGAAGAAAATATATATGAAAATGAACAATATAATGTTTCATTTGACCCAACACATGCATCCATGAGTGAATAAATATAACTAGACTTCGTCGGTGAAACAAAAACTTTTGCATCAGCTGCGTGGGTCATTAGGTGGAGTTGGACTTCTGCAAAGCAAGGAATTAGCTGGAGCGTCACATGCAGCTGATCGATACGATCCATCGCATGTCACTGTGGACCGACGAATTAAAGCACCCTTTCTCATTCGTTTTATATATTTATATTTATAAATACTATTTTTAGTTTCCTTGACAAACACATACATATATATAAATAAATACTCCTCATCACCAGTTGCTTGCATGGATAGAGTGCGCTCGCTCATTCTTCTTCTTTGATCAGTTCAATTTAGCATGAATGAATAATTAATATATATTTTGCAGTGCATTGCATAGAGGCTGCCAGATGATGAGACTTAGCTTGTGACCTTTTTATTCTTTTAGCCGCATTTGCACTACTAGCTAGTGGTACTACTAGTGTCATGATTCTGTCTCAGCTGTGGTCTCTGCTGGTTTTCGTAAGGATGCAGCTAGGCTTGACATGTATCCAACGACCATCGACCGGCCGATCCATCCATCCATCCTTCATTTTCGACCCTTCCAACATCAGAGTTTGTTAGGCCTTGAAATGCACTAGCTAGTAGAGTAGTAGTGGACATGCCACGCCAATGCATGTATCCTAGCCGACAATCCACTGTTATCCCCTACTCTCCCTGGCTGTGTCTTCTCCGATCCTCCCAATTTCTCCAAAGTATTGTTCCCTCTTTCGTCAGCCTTTTCGGTTCGGTTTGAGACCTCGACGTACAAGTACGACAACCGACAGCCGTCTGACGCATGCCGAGACTTTGCTGCTGTGCTATATTCTAGTGTGAGTGTGAGTGTGGGTGACGCTTTTTTAATTTCGTTCTTTTGAATTTATTCGCTTTTGTGTGCGTGTTTCAATTTGGATGGGCAGTCAATTGTGGAAAAGGGGAAGATGCGACCGATGCAAGGGACTACACAAGCCATGAAAGGATTTCATGACGTTTTGAAAAGCCTGCAGTGAGCTCCGAATAAGAAACAGAATAAGGACCGGCGCCTCTGAGTTTTTTTTTTAAGCAAAGAATATGATATTCAATTCCTCATACGAGAAACGAGAATGGCAATTTTGTTTTTGGAGTGGAGGAAGTAACTGAACATTAATTCCCAATTTCTCATGTTCCAAGCCGAGACTGCTGGGAGGAGGGAGATTCAGTTCCCAAC